AAAAAAGGAAGATGGTGTGTGGAATAGAATTAAATGGTTGCACTTTTTTTAATAGTTTGCCTGCCGCTAGTTTGATGATTGTTCATAACTTGTTACTCTGCTAACGTCTGAAGAAGTTGAAGGCAAAAAATGTGTTGAGATGATGAAGTTGTTTGCTGCCTTCTGTAAAATAAAATACATTGACAAATTGGAGAATCGCGTGCCGTTTTTTTAAAAAAAAGTAAAATGAGTCAGTAAAAGATGCCCTGCTTCCTGGTACTTGTTTAAATTTTTTTCTTGGTACTTTTGCTTAAATGCAGCTGTCTACCCCTCAGTTTTTAATACTTCTTATTTCAGATGTTAGAACATGGAGGACAGATCAGGAATGGTTGTATGTATGTTTCTTTTGGATTTGCAGTGTATCAATTCCATGAGTTTCATGCTTCAACCTCTTTGGCTTAACCTGCATTTAAATCCCCAATGCCGTGCTTACATGATGGATTTAGTCAGGGAAACTGAACTGCAGCTTACTCAACCTATTTGCTATATGGCTTAGGAAATAAGGAAACTGTTTGATAAGATGTAAGTTGGGAGCTTGGGGTGCTGACTCTTCCTCTTTACTGCTTGAAAATAAGCTGCTATCTTGTGAAGAGTCAGATTAAGCCAAAATGATTTAGCAAAGTATATATCTCAATCTGAACTGGATTGGGGTGGGGTGGTATAAGAAAAGGGAATAAGTAATATTATTTATCAACTAGAATTGATCTAAGCTGACTTGCTAATGTTGCTTCGTTACCAACTGGCCTGCAATCAGTCTTGATACAGGCTGCAATACTTTCTGAAATTTGAGACGGGAAAAAAGGATAGGAATATAATCTCCTGGGTTATAAAATGTAAAAACTGCCTTCTCCAGCTAAGCATTCACCAAAGATGTTGGGACTTCTGCTCTGCCTGGGCTGTGCTGTCAAGATCTGTTGAGAGTTAACGACACACCTAAAAGGACCAGGTTTCTCATCCTTGACTCCTGTGTTTTGTTGATCCTTCTACCCAAGGATTTCTGGAATGGCTACCTGAAATACCCAGAGGGCACCAGGTTGCCTGTTCCAATGTGAAACGTGGGGTGGGAAGTCTTCAGCAGATGAGATCACCATCTGTAGCATGGGTGTCAAACTCGCCATGTCACGTGACGTGTTGTGACTTTTTTTGCATTGCTGGAGCTGGGGTGGGCTTGGCCTCTGTATGATGCACCTGGCCTGTGGGCCGGCAGTTTGACACCCCTGATCTATAGCAATACTGGTTAGTTGACCTCATGTGTGGAGCACAATAATTTTATCTGTGTTTAGCTTAATGCAGATCAAATCAAGCCTGCCTTATAGACAAGCATATTAGCTTAGAATATATATGAACGCTGTCATCAGAGCATGGCCGATTATAAAACGTGTTGAGCCTTGAATCACAGTGGTCAAGTTCATATTTTATGGTAACTACAAATGATGGTTTGCAAACCACAATAAGTTCACACGTGAAGTACCAATCTAGAACTCAAAGGTATCCCAGCTTTGCGTGATGTATCTTCTCTCTAGAGACTTCCACTCTCTAATTATTGTTAACAGTTCTCTTTCTGTTACCTGTTCAACATGTCACTTCACAGTTGGCCCTCTACATTTTACCTTCCTGGGAGATAATTACTCAGCCGAAAATCACCTTTATAATAAAATAAGCAGCAGTAGACAAGGGCATTAAAAATCTATTAGCAGTAGTAATTTAGTAAGAAAGTTAGAACGGCATTAAAAAAAATGATTTATAACCGGTCCTCACACAACTATCACAGCATCCCTATCATCATATGATAAAAATTTAAGGCCTTTTGCAACCTTCCCAGAGAGCTTCCAATGTGCAGAGTCAATGGAGGAAGCTAAATTAACAACTGCAATGATTTGCTTAGCAACTACGGCAAAAAAAAAAAAAAAGTGGGTGCAAAATTGGCTGCGACTTATTTTAACCACCCTGGTTAGCCACAGAAATTCTGGTTCCAATTGTGGTTGTAGCCATAGCACTAGCACTTAGACTTATATATTGCTTCTTAGTGCTTTAGAGCCCTCTCTAAGTGGTTTAGAGAGTCCGCACATTGCCCCCAACAATCTGGGTCCTCATTTTACCAACCTTGGAAGGATGGATGGCTGTCAACCTTGAACCGGTCAGGATTGAACTACTGGCAGCCGGCAGGATTAGCCTGCAATACTGCTTTCTAACCACTGCGCCACCACGGCTCCTTGTAAGTCAAGGATTACCTGTATCAATGTTTGCATTCTGTAAAAAATAGTGTGAATGCAGCTGATTAAAAACTTTATTGCAAGAAGACTGTTAAATAAGAAAATTTAATTATAATTCCTGTCTGAGAATGGTTAATGTCGATGCAACTCTGATCTTTGGCCACAAATAAATCCATACTGATACAAAATTAGAAATAGGGCCGTCTTCATGCAAGGAGAACTGTGTTTCATCAGACTGGCTCTTAAGTGATGCTCTGCCATGTGCAGATTATGCTCAAACGTTTAATATTATAAAACCGGAGACAATGCGGGGTAATGGTTAAGGAGTTGGACAACAAGCAGGAGGCCCTGATTTACAGCAATCTACTGCAGAAGAATACTTGTCATCCTTAGGCTATCACACACACCTTGCCGAGTTGCATTGTAAGATAAAAAGGACCCCTTATGGATGCCACTTTGAGCTCCTCTAAAAGAGGCAGGATATACATCTAATCAGTAACATAGTTGGTAAAAGTACATTAAGTTTTCTTGGATGACATTTATTTATTTATTTATTTATTTTATTATTTTGATTTATATCCCGCCCTTCTCCCGACGGGACTCAGGGCGGCTCACAACCTATTTAAAAACAAAAACATACCCACAATCCCCACCGAATAAAACCAATTAAAAGCCAAATATTTAACGTTGTGATTTCCTGTTTAAAATTTCCTTAAAATAAACCCGATTTAAAATCCTCTCTAGGCCAGGCCCGCTTGNGTAGATCAGGCGAACCTGATAAAACGCCCCCCTGGTCACGGCCGACAACTGATCATCCAATGTCAGCCGTGGATCCAGGAGGACTCCCAAGTTGCGCGCCCTCTCTGAGGGGGCCAAAGTTTCGCCCCCAATAGTCAGCGATGGCGTCAGCTGACTATGCCGAGGCGCCGGCAACCACAGCCACTCGGTCTTGGAAGGGGTGAGCCTGAGTCTGTTCCTCCCCATCCAGACCCGTACGGCCTCCAGGCATTGTGGTTTTCTCTTTGGTGGGTGATTTTATTTTTCTTAATGCTCACTTTTTTTTTTTTTAGGATTCTACCTATATGTAAGGTTTTGTTTTGAAAGTTGGAATTCATTCTATTCATTGGTTAAATTGAAACTGAAAATCCACCCTTCGCTGCTAGAAAAATCGGTAGTGTCCAATTTTGAGAGTTGGGCTTTAAAATGGAATTCACCCGTTTAAATGGATCTGACGTCTACTAAACCAGTGGGGAAAAAAGAGGGTTACAAATACCTGTTTTCTGTTAAATGTTTCTCCTTGCTAATAGCTTCCCTCTCTCCCTTTTCCTTTTGTGTAGGCATCTGAAGGATTTAGTGAAAAGCTGTTCTTAAGACAAAGAATGAATCTTCTCTCTCAACTGTCTACCACCCCGATAGACTGCTTGTTTAAGGTTTGGATTGCATAGCTGTTGGATTAGCGCAGCAAGAATTAGCAAAATATTATGCTTTCCCTTGCAACCCGTTGGAGGACTGTCTCCACTGCTATCTGTAGACTGAAATTGGGTGTTTTGGAATTGATAAAAGAACAGCGCTTATCTTTCCTGTGCCATTTTTATTGGCTTTTTAAATTATAATTATGGACGCTTTAATCAGAGTAGCATCGGCATTGGTGGAATATGGCTTGAATTGTATTTATTTTCTAAGCAGTGCCTGCGGTGATTTCTCCTTCCACTTAATCATCTATCACTGGAGAGATGATGCCAGGAGGAAAGCTTTCCTAGGAGTGATCTCTTTGGGCACATTCCTAAAATTCCTTCTTCAGTTAAATATTTAAACTTTAATGCGTTGAGAGTTTGTTTGGAGCAGGTTATGGCTTTGCTGGCACAGAGAAGCTGCTGAATCAGTTTGATGTTATCCTTTTTTTTTATTGCTGTTGAAGTTGTATGTACGATTTTTAAATTTAATTTTTTTAAAAAAATATATATATATCCGCTTCTTTGAGAATGCTTGTAAATGGAGAGAGGACTCCACACTTCAATCCACATTTTCAAATAAATTTATACGATCTTAAGAAAGGGTCTGGTTAACCCGTTCTGCGATAGTAAAAGATGTTTTTAACACAAATAACAGAATAACAGAGTTGGAAGGGACTTTGGAGGTCTTCTAGTCCAGCCCCCTACTCAAGCAGGAGACTATACCATTGCAGACAAATGACTGTCCAGTTTCTTCTTAAAAGCTTCCGATATCCAAATAACCAGTATTGTTTGGACTCCACTTCTGTCTTGTTAAATGGTGTAATTCTTACATTTTTAAAATAGCTTCTGGAAATGTATCCTGGACAGCTAAGTTTGTAATCTCACACCTGCCTTTTCCTACCTGTTTTTTCCCCCCAGGTGTATTGGAACCACAGTTCCAATAGGACGTAATATAGCCATTGGAGAAAATTGTTTATACCTATTCAGCGAGATTAAGACATAGTATTCTTGGCAGGACTTGAATAGACACCCATTCATTTTTACCGTTTAACAGTTACAGAGATGTCACAGTGGGCATGCAGTCTAGAACTGGAATTGTTAGAGAGATGGTAGACAATAAACCAGTGACTTGTGAGGGAAACACACCGGCTCTTCTACCAATTGCTGTGATGTGAGAACTGACCTTGAGTCCTTCTTATGATTCTCAAAGGTCTTTCTCCTCCTGTGGTGTCTTTCTTCTTTGTTTGGGTTTTGAACCTGCCCAGATGTGTCTCTCTCACATTCTTCTTTGCAGCACGTGGCTTCGGGCAACCAAGAAGAAGTAGAACGCTTGTTGAGCCAAGGAGACAGCGACAAGGATGCTTTGAAAAACATGTGCCATCCGCTCTGCTTCTGTGACAAATGTGAGAAGCTAGTTTNAGCCAACAGAGTCTAATCTCGGTGTTTTTCTTTACGCTGTTTGAAAAATTATTACTTGGTCTTTTTTGATGTTTAGTTTTAATACTGTTATATGTTTGGTTTTGCTTTATGTTTGGTTAGCTGCCCAGAGTTATTTTGTTGAGATGGGCAACCATATACATTTGCAAAATAAAGCAAGAGAAGAAAAAAGTAGGATTACCCAAAAAAAATTCCTTCATTAAGGAATATTTTTGCTGGAAATGAATTGGAATACAACACTACCAGCAAATTCCAAGTCCATCTGTATTTCACTTTCTCCAATAAAAATAGGTATACTGTCTCTGATAAATATTAAAAAATACTTTAAATGCTATTTAAAAATGAATACATTCCGTGTAAACAACAGGAGTGACATGTAAAAAGTGAACTTGGAAAAAAGGAGAATTGCATTTTAAAAGCCTACATCGGAGAACTGCATGTGAGAAAGGAAAAAAAAATGCTAAGGATTATTTGCGTTTTAAAAAAAAAAAGATTAAGCAGTCTATGTTAAGAGCTAGGAAAATTACAGGAGGATATTGAAAAAGCCCTGAATTATGAGATACTGCGGTGGCAAGTGATTAGGCAAATAGGATGATGGAGGATGCTGGGAGCCCGGATGTGAAGCAACATTATGAAGGCCACAGTCTGCCCAATGATGGGATGTAATCTTCAAGGTGCCAGTTTGCAAGATAGGAGCTTTTTTCTGAACTGCATCCTCTGATTATTTTGGTTTTCCCAGAAAGAAATAGATCAGTGGTTCTCAACCTGTGGGTCGGGACCCCATTTGGGGTCGATCGACCATCTTACGGGGGTCGTCAAGCAAGGCTGTCCGCCATTTTTTTTTGTCCGCCATTTTTTTCCCTTTTTCCGGCGGGTGCCTTACCTCCCTTGGGCTGGGCCAGCTGGTGGTCGGCCTGCTCCGTCTCTGCCGCTTGCCAGCTACACCTCGGCCGGCGCAGGGGGCGGAACCACGCATGCGTGGCGCTCCCGGGCAGGGAAAGTCCTCGACTTACGACCGGTTGGGTAGTCCTCGACTTACGACCGGTTTAGTCCTCGACTTACGACCGGTTTAGTCCTCGACTTATGACCGGTTTAGTCCTCGACTTATGGCCGGTTGGGGTCACGGCATTAAAAAGGTTGAGAACCACTGAAATAGATAGTAGTTTATCTTGGTTTTTG